TTCATGTTTCTTAGAATATAAGCATATGATCATGAGTGAATACATGTAAATGATTGTGTGACCTTGCAAATAGCTTAAACATGTTTAGAGTATCATTATGAACAACTTTGGTATTCATGGCTAGGGCTAAATGGATCACTAAGTCATAGTTCATGAACAAGTCATCATTTGAATGTACTAGGTTTGACCATGTTTGAATCATATGATAGAGGCTATGCATGTATGTGGTCACTAAAACAAAGTTGTAGTACTTGTCATGGAGAACAACTTTTATTTTTGGGTCAGGAAATAATAAAGTGCATAGCTTAGTCTTTTTGAGCCCACAAAAATCAACAATGCACTGTTTTCAACACAGCAAAAATTTTCCAAGTCGTGTACACTGACAGTCTAACAAGCTCGACTTTGGGATGACATAACTCGAGATTGGTTGAGAATTAGAGCTTGAGTTATAAATAGAAATTGGAGATGGTACTTGGGTCTACAATTTTTGTTTGAGTCATTCACTGAATCACCTTGTATCGAGAGAAAATTCAACTGGAAAGCACGCTGTCAGGCTCGGTTCGCAGCAATGAACTAACTGAATCAACCGGCTTCAGTGGCCGACCAACGCCAGAGCTTGGTCTCCGCGTGGAGCCAGTAGCGGCCGCGCGTCGCCGACGTCCTGCCCGTGCGACAGAGACGAGCCAGTGCGCGCCTTAACACACCAGCGTCCGCCCGCTCCCTCCCCGCGCCCTCATTTCCAATTTTTGCCTCCTCCTTCGCCTGTGCGCGCACCGCAGCAGCAGCGCAGCTCGCCGCCGTCGATTGTCGGTCGCTAGCTTGCCTAGCCTCGCTTCTCCACCACCGCAACCCCTCCACCATCACTCCTATGATTCATCGCATCCTCCTGTGCTCGTTGACCACGCTCGGTAAGCCACCGCACCGCACAAGAGCTCGTCGTTGCTCCGCCACCACACTCCGTCACCGTGGTCCGGCCGACTCCGACCACCGCGTGCCACGTTAGAGCGCGCAATAGGTCCACCGTAGTTCATTGATGCTCGTCCGAGCTTTAGGTTGAGCCGCCGTGGCCTCCTCCGATGTGCCACAGCCGTCTCGCTCCTCTGAGCCTCCATGGTCGCCGCCGTCATCGCTAGCGCCGATGAGAGGGCCAGCCAAGTAGTTCAATCGATGAGTTAGGTCATAAGGGTCGTCCCGTGTAGATGTCATCACCGGCGAACTCGCCGTCGACGAGCTCTGGCCGCGCATGGATTGTGCAGCACTGCTGCTCTGTTCCGTTTCGCTGACAAGTGGGGTCACTGTTTCGCGGGTCCCGCCTGTCAGCGATAGTAGTAAAGAAGCTAGCTCGTTTATTTTCTGTTTTATGTGCATCTTTGAAAATAGATAACTGGAGCTGTGTAGATCCAAAAATGGTGAAATAAATTTTGTTGTGATCCTCATGACTAGATCTAGGGTTTAAAAATATTGCATGTCAGTTTGGTGACACTTTTCTGTGGAGTTTTATTTAATCATTGAAATTGTTGTTTTCTTGAGAAAGGCATAATAAATCATAGAAAGATCAGAAAAATATGATTTCAAGTTTGTTACTCTTCTTGTGTAATGTACTTTCTAGGAAAAATATATGCCATGCATGTCCTGTAGAAAAATTATGAGGTGTAGTTCAAGTGCCTTTAATGGCTGATTTTTGTTATTTTTGCTAGAGAGCAAAATTTGTATAAAACATGCATGTGATAATTTTTGTACAGTGATTATTTACTATGTAGAACCTAGGAAAAATATTAAGTCTGTTGTTTGACACTTTTCATAATACAAAGTATTTTCATGCTCATATTTAGGTCCAAGCTTGTTATTTTTGTGTAGACTATTCCGCTTATCCAAATGCCATAAAAATTTGATGGTAGACTACTTAGGGTAGTACTGTGCTATGGTAATTTTCTAAGATTTTTCTATGCTATAAAAATACATGTTGCTATTCAAACCTATTATTAATTAGAATTTAATCAAATGTTGCTTTATGCATGATTAAGAAATTAGTGAAGCTTTTGGTGTATCTTTGAAGCATTCAATGAGATGTGTTGACTTAGCATGTTAGTAGTAGAAGAGAATGCAGTAGATGGCATGTGCTTGTAGTACATGTTCTTGGATGATGTTGACTACCTTGTATGAGATTTGTATTATACTCTCCCCATTAAAGCGAATCATGCTCATTACGTTCAGGAGTTGTTTGCAACCGTTGCTGCATTATACCTTGTTTACCTTTGTTATACTATATCCTTGTTACCCTGGTATCCGCAGTCGAGTCAATGCTTAGCTGGCTTAGACCGGTAGAAGTCGGGTGATTTCCTGTCACCTGCGAGCTATAGGTGGTTACCTGGATCTGCTCGGATAACTATGTAGTCATGGTATAACTAAGTGTTAATTTGAAGTTGAGACCGGACGGAGACTTATAGGGTTTTGGACTGTAGTGCTTTCCGTCTGTGTCGATTAAGGACCGACCGTTGTTGGGCCTCGGGTCATGTTGAACGCATGCCTTACATTTAGCTGGCCGAATAACGTACCTTTCGACCGCGAAGCTAGGAGATTATTCGGGCCAAGTGGATTGCCCGCAGCGCACTGTACCGGAGCAGGTGTGGTAGGACACGGGGGCGCGATGATAAGACCAAAAGGCAATCCACTCGGCCCGAATAATCTCCTAGCTTCGCGGTCGAAAGGTACGTTATTCGGCCCCTGGGAACATGTGATTCCTGGCAAACTCGAGATTTTTCCTGGATAGTTGACTCGGTGACCGATACCTCACTTTAGCGGGTGAGTGAGGTTTGTGTAAGGAATAAATTACCAGCTGGTTAATAATCGATTCGAATCGCCATCGTTCACTGGATAGTGAACACTTGACTTGAGTTACTTCATCGTAGTAATGTTGACGGAACACTTGGACAGCTATAATGGATATGACATTATGGAAGTTGTTAATGATCATTGGTTATTATTATTTGCTTAATCATATGCTTGCTCTAGTATAGGTGCAAATGTAGTCGACAGGTTAATAATAATTAACTTGACAATAATGCTTTTGGAAAGGTTCTTGAAATGCTAAAAATACCTTTTTTGCAAAATGAGTCAGCTACCATACTATAAAGCCCTTCATAATTCTTTGTCACTTTATTTTCGGTTATATCGGGTAAGTCTAGCTGAGTACCTTCTCGTACTCAGGGTTTTGTTCCCACTTGTTGCAGATGGGCAGATGTATTACGGCTATTGTATCAATTGCCTTTATCCTGCGATGGGTGATGCTTAGGACCATGGGCATGGTTATTCCTTACGTCTCATCTAATGCTTTTGTTGGAGATGATCATCAGCTGGCACTGTATTTGAACTTCGTGTGAGTGTGTGGTTTTGAACAAATGGCTTCCGCTACTTCTATTTGAACTCGGTTTGTAATAACTATGTTTAAACTCCGATGTATCTGTGATGCGAACTTTTATGTAATATATAATGGTGATCGCTAAACTTATTACGATCTTGGCTGGTATGTGAGTTGGTTTGAAATCCTTCGTGATTTCACGGACTACCGGATTATACGGACTTAAGTTTGCTAAATCGTCTGCTCTGGCGGTTGATTTTCTTACTTAATTTCGTATAATTGGTCGGTTCTGTTACAGGACCCACCGGCCGTGGACCCTAGACACGCGTTCCGATGACGATGCCGCCGCGACGTGTTCGCCTGCTGGCGGGAGCTCAACGCGCGGGGCACGGGCACCGGCGAATGGATTCAGCAGCATCACGGACGTCGCCTCATCCATGAGCGCCAGCCACCCACACGAGGAGCCGCACGCCACCTTGCCGCGCATGTCGGGCAGCGTCTTGGACAAGACTTTCTTCTCCGGGACGCAGTAGAAGCCGACACGGTTCAAGTCGGGATCGAACGGGAGCAGCAGGAGCGGCCCGAAGGTCACAAACGGGATGGCGGTGCGCCATGGGGAGCAAGCGGATCGGAAGGACGCCACGTCGTGGCCTAACGCGAGACGCTGCCCGATGGACTCGAGGAGATCCTCTGGTAGGCCAGATCTCCAATCAGGGAGAGGTAGGGACTTTCTCTTGGGATTGAAAGGCTAAGCCATGAAAGACAGATGACATCAACTATGGTTCACGCAAGAAACAGCAAGCGAGGGCGATGGAACACGTGAGCATGAAACTAAATGAAAAGAGAAAAAAGCTGTCCCTTTTGCAAATGCAAAGAGGGAAAGTAATTAAATGTAGGCAGATTTGGCAAGGTTCTCAGAAATGCAAAGAGGTTTATTTTGACTTAATTCACTTTCCTTCTGTGTTAATTCTCTTTCCTTTTGCTCGTTGCCATGTATGCTGGTACATGCAAAATGCAATGTGTATATGGGTAGCACAATAATTTTCTACTTTCTATTTTGCCGTGATTCCTCTATCACATGACAGGAAATATTCAATCAAGGAGAATGGCACGATCAATCAGTAATTAAGATGTCGTGGGATCGCAGGCATGGGCAGACGGATGAACCAAAACAAATGTCACACAAAAAAATATCCACACTTTGTTCTTTTTAGTTGTAGGAGATATATTATGAGTCTAGGAATTTAGTTGATTTAGTGTTGGACAAGGCTAACTAGGTTCAACAAAAAAAAATAGCCAACTTATTTCATTGGCATAAAGACGAATTGTATATTCCATTGCAACAGTATGTTTGGTAATACTAGAAAAATAGGGTTCTCAAACCATCTGAAAATAACACTATATATTTTTATAATTTTATAGTAGAAGGTATCTGAAAAAATATAGATATTATTAATGCTATTTTCTAGAAATAAATGTTACTAAAATTAATTTTCTAATGAGTTTTTTAGAAGAATTAATTTCTAATGAGTTGACTCATTGACGACGGAGTGAGAATGTTTTAGACTTGAACACGCACAAGCCCCCGCCGCGGCCACGTCAAACGGCACCACTCGTGACCTCGTCTCCCATTTCGACCACCATGGCCGCCGCCACAACTGCAGCCGCAGACGCAGCCCAAGACGGGCAGACGCCCTCGCTCTCCGCCTCGCCAAGCACCTCGCGCCCCCGCCTCCCGCCGCCGCCGCCGCCACCAACAACCACAACCACAACGTCGCGTTCTCGCCGGTGTCCGTGCACGCGGGCGCAGCTGCTCGCCTTCCTCGGCGCCCCGTCAGCCGAGGGGCTCGCCGACTTTGGCCGCCGCGTCGCGGACCGCGTCCTCGCCGACCGCTCCGACGCCGGCGGGCCGCGGGTGCTCTTCGGCGGAGGCGTTTGGGTGGACGCCGCCTGCGGAGGGCTCACAGACGCGTTCCGCGACGTCGCAGCCGAGGCCTACAAATCGGAGGCGAGAACCGTGAGCTTCACCGATGAGGTTAGTAGATTAGATTAGCTGCTTTTTTCCCCCTCGTTCCAAGTTTCCAACACAATACTACTATTCCCTGCAAAAAGATATTTAATCGTTGTGACATTTGGATATCTGTGCTTCAACCCTCTTGCATTGTTTGATGATCAATATATAAACCAAGATGCTGAATGAATTTAGATCAGATTAGGCGCCTTATTTCCTATTCTATTAGGATTGGATGAGAAGGAGAAAATTACATGCTGCCATCATTTACATACAAAATTCTTGTTATCAAACTTGATTTTTACATCACTAATCATAAATAGTAACAGTTTAACCCCCAGGCTTCATTTGTTCATTTTACTACCTTGCATTTGCGCACACATATATATTGTGATCCATCACGCACGTTCACTAATAGCACATTGCGTGGTACGCGCAGCCCGAGGCCGCAGTGAAGATGATCAACTAGTGGGTGAAGAAGGCCACGGACAACCTCATCGACTCCATGATCTCCACCGACGACATCAACGCCGCCACCGACCTCGTGCTCGCCAACGCCATCTACTTCAAAGGCGACTGGATGGAGCCATTTCAACTCCAGTTCACATCCCCGGGCACGTTCCACCGGCTTGACGGAGGCCACGTCGAGTTGGATTTCATGGAGAAATACCGGAGGATGGACGTTGCCTGCATGGACGGGTTCAAGGTCCTAAAGCTACCATACAAGCTCGGCGCCACACCACCGGCTCATGGCCAGCTCAAGCGCCGCCGTGGGCAGGTCGACACAAAGTCCAAGGACATGCCCTCGACGGAGGTCAACGAGAGCACACGGTACTCCATGTTTGTCTTCCTCCCGGACACGCGTGACGGCATGGCGACCATGGTGGACGTGGTCACCGCGGCGGCAGCGTTCATGTACAGCATCTCGGCCGAGATGAAGTTGCGGGATGTGGACCTGAAGCTGCCCAAGTTCAAGATAACATTCAACTGGGGGAACCTCAAGGAGACTCTCTGCCAGCTGGGGCTGACGCTGCCGTTCTCGCCAGAGGCCGCCGACCTGCGGGGCATGTGCAACGGGGACGAAGGTGACGGCAAGTCACGGCGGACAACGTTCCTGAGCAAGGTTGCACACATGGCAGTGGTTAATGTGAACGAGAAGGGAACTGAGGCTGGAGCAGTGGCATTCCACGTGCATGGTGGTAGCGGGCCACCGCCTGACCTCGTCGAGTTCACCGCCGACCATCCATTCACCTTCTTCATCATGGAGGAGCGGTCTGGGGTGATCGTGTTCGTAGGACACATTCTTGACCCTACCAAGTGATACTCTGAATTCTGAAATGTCACTAACTGCTTCCTGGATCAGTTCGGCTGTTGCTCGTGAAGTACTGTTATGTCCTTATAATTACTGCTTCCTGAATCAGTTCGGCTGTTGCTCGTGAAGTACTGTTATGTTCTTATAATTACTGCTTCCTGAATCAGTTCGGCTGTTGCTCGTGAACTACTGTTATGTTCCTATAATTTTGGTGTTACTGTGGACTCGGTTCAGTGATTGCAACTGTACCTCCATTTGGTATTCTGTGTATCTTTTCGGAATATAGTCTGGGTAAACATTTACCATAACAGTTCTAGAACTTAATTAAAAACAAAAAACCTGAGAAACACTCACATTTCAATTCCATGTGTTTTTGCAAACCAAACCATCTCTATGGACAGCACAGCCCTGTTAAACTGACTCAACAGCAACTCTTGAAAAGAAAATACAATGTCATTATAGACTTTAATTTCATTCAAAAATATGACAGTTTCTGCACAATAAACCAAGCTCAGTGGACAACAAAAGTATAGCGACCTGAATCTGGCCAAACCATGTTCACTAAGTATTTCACCACATGAGTGAGACTGCAGAACACTGTAAACACATTGTGAACATGAAAATGAAAATTATATTATTTGCTGTCATTCATGGATAGATGACTGCAAAATAGTTCAGAACACAAAGCACTCTATAGTGGTACAATAGATGTAGCAACCTGAACAAACAGCAAGGAAGCCTACAAAACATCAAGTGGGGACAAGGTACACTGAATCATCATAATTCTCTATCCTAATAAACATGGTGATGATCGCTAAAACAATCACAATCATGCTCAGAACAAAAGTGAATTTTGTTCTATACTTCCTCGTCTTCACTATGCTGCTTGTAATACAGACATCATCCTCTTTAAGTTCAATTTCAGGGGAAGCCTTGCTCGATGTGTTCTCAGCCTCGGTAGTGGAAAGTCCTGATTCATCGGCATTGGATAGAGTCTCAGTCCTATCATTGCTGTTCTGCATATCAATGGTTTCATTCTCATCGTTCATCTCATCAGCTTTGCTGTCTGAATGCAGAGATTGCATCTGTTCAGATGAGATCACTAGTTCCTCATGTTCCTGATCTGGTGATGATAAGCCACTGAGCTTTGCAGTGGATTGCCCCACAATGCTAGCAGAGTCAGAGTCGTATGAGCTTTGAAGCAATCGGAGAAGCTTCCTTGGTGTTGAGTATATCTTCACGTTATCAATGCTGATCGGCCTGTCTGAAGCCTAAGGGGGAAAACAGAACAGTAAAGTTAATTACTGGCTCAACTGAGGAACTGTACAACGCAACTCATGAAGCACACATTGCACAAAAAGAACATAAAGCAAATCTTGGAAGATTTATTAAAACAGTTGAGATATGTAAACATATTTACCCTGGGACTGGGAGTCTTGTCTCTTGATATGGAGCCATTTGGGCTTCGTGACACAAATCCTGCAAATGTGTTAGTGCACTCAAAGTTAGCATCAGTCACCTCACTGTCACAGACCTCGCCCAAGTCATCTTCATAGGAATTGCTGTTTGAGCAAAGCTGAATGAACAAGCCATCCTTCAGAGAAACATCGACGCCATCATTGTTCCACAACCTCCGGTTCGTGCGCCGACTCTGATCAAAGTTGCAAGAGGACTGCCCGACTGAGACTGGCGACTCGGTGAGTGTGCTGCCATTCATGATAGACGAATCCACAACCTGGGATTCCGGGGACCTGAACTGGGCTGGAGAAGCAGCGACGGTGGAGCCTGCAGGGCTGCCCTTGGCACTCCAGAGGCTCCTGCACGGGCTCTTCTCCCTTCTCTTGTGAAAAAATGGAGCCAACCTCATGTCTTGATCCCTTCTGCGAGGCGATGCTCTTCGCGCTCTGTGATGCCTCAAATGCAGCACCTCGCACGAACGGCATGCGGTCATTCTGGCACTTCTCCATCACAGCAATCACCCTGCCAAGCTCTGAAGACAAGCACCTGGGGTCAACAAACTTCATGAAGAAGTTGATCATCTGGATCGCCGAGAGGCGCTTCTGCGAGCTGCTCTCCGCCGTGTCCCCATCAAGGATCTGCAGCCCCGACCGCACAATGGACCTCGCGTACGCCTCCGCGATCAGGCCATTGTGCTTCACCAGCGCCATGGCGAGGCCCATGTGCGCGTTCGAGCCCGTTGCCCGGTCGTGCATCGCCCCGGCCACCTTGAGGCAGACCTCGTTCACCATCTCCCCGGACGCGAACCTCCAGTTGGTGGACTCGACGAGCGCCTTCAGGCACAGCGCCGCGCCGGACGCGGCGCCGCCGTCCTGCTGGATCGTCCCCATGAGTGCGCCGCAGAGAGGCCTGCAGAGGGACGCGATGATGGCGGCCTTCTCGTCGTCGGGCGTGGACGACGGGTCGATGCCGTACCGCGCGATGGCGGGCACCACCTTGGAGCAGGCCTGGTGGAGCGGGAAGGATCCCCCGCTGGAGGAGAGCGTGCGCATGATGGTGGCCATGATGTTGCCGATCTGCGGCACGATGTTGCGCCCGTGCACCCGCGCCAGCACCTCGTAGAGCGAGATGGTGAACTCACCAGTCGGCATGCCGGCGCCTGCGGCGCCGCCCGCGGCCGTGGTGGTGTCGGAGACCTCGGCGAGGAAGTGCGGGATGGACTTGGAGTCCAGGTGCCTGGCGTAGGACTTGAGCGCCTTCATGGCAGCGCGGCGGCTATCGGCGTCCTTGTCCAGGTTGTCCAGCTCCTGCCGCAGCAGCGGGCTCAGGCCCATCGGCGGCCGGCGTGCAAGAAACGAAGCTCTGTATGCAGAACAAACGAAACAAACAATTCAGACTCATAAAAAGGGCGCGTTTTTTAGGCGTCTCGCGACAGAATCAAGCGCAAGAAGCACGGAATTGGTGGCCGCGTCCATCGAATCTCGACAGGCGTCAGATTTTAGCTGCCTATCTCGCCCAAAATTACTAATTTTCATTCATAGTTATAGCGCAGGGGAGAGTTAAAAGAGGAAATGGACGAACATTAACCGACCAAACCAAAAATCCAATCAAGAGACCCGCCGGACCAGCACTAAACCAACCGCGCAAGAAGAAGCGCGCGATGTTCCAAGAACTGGAGAGACTGATGAATCAACAAGACTGGCAAAGAAGTTTGGGCGTCGCATTGAACTCACCTGGATTCAAGAACTGGACTGCAAAGCTTCCTTCCTCTCTCCCTCTCCCGCTCTCTCTCTCTCTCTCTCTCTCTCTCTCTCTCTCTCTCTCTCTCTCTCTCTCTCTCTCTCTCTCTCTCTCCACACACACACACACGGCTCGAATTCAAATCGCCAGGCGGCAGTAGGAGGAGAAGGGGGGCGGAGCGATTGAAATCAACCAGCACCAGCAGCTCAGATCCGCCGCGAGGGGGTTAAAACGGGCAGTAGGGGTTCTTGCGGCCCCCTCTCGGCGTTTTCGAACCGATGGGAGCAAGCCCAACCCGGCATACTTTTCTCACTCGCGTCCGGCCAGCCACACGGAGGAGACGAGTCCAGGAGGCCCACCTGCAGTCACAGGCGCGGGCGCGAGTGCGCGTGCGTGAGAGCGCGGGCGCGTTTCCAGGTGAGGGGCCGCGGAGGCGGAGCGGCCGCGGAGTTTGAATTTGGGGTTGCGAGAATGACCATTCTACCCTTGGGACCTTTGACCGTTCGTGTTTCTGCCACGGTCACCCACGCCCCGTGCTGGTGGTGCGGTGTGAACTTGGCGACAGTGTTCGTGGGCTGGGCTCGTGGCTCGGTTTGTGGCGCGTTTGAATCCATGCACCAATGGGCCAAATGGCCAGCAGGTGGCAATCGCCTGGGCTTCACCCTCGGCCTGCACGACACGAGAGGTTCGATTAATAGTGGCCCAATCTCAGTGCGCTAACCATCTCCAAACCTCGGAGCAACTCAAAGAGACATTGTATCCTACTCGCTATCAGTAATTTTTTTTTTTTTTAAAAGGCTCCAAGAGACTCGGTAACAGCGTTTGTAAAATAATAAAGAGCTGGCTATCTCATTTTTTCCAATCAGCAATTAAGCCAGCGGGCTTAGCTGGCCATCCGTAGCGTTCAGCCATTTTTCACGCCGTCGTGGCCTCCTTTTTCCCTCCACACACATTTTAAAGCCCACAAAAAAGTGACAGATTCAATCAAATTTGATTGAATTAGTGATAACGAGGTAACTTTAAAAAATAAAGAGTCTGATTTAGAGTCCGTTGCGGACAGTATCTATTTTAACGGTCTATATTATTTTAGAGAGCTAAATTACCGTTAGCTTTCGGAGTTGCTCTGAGCCTGACACACAAAAACATGTTCCCTCCCAGCCACAACCTCCATCCTAGCCTAGTGGCTCCTGCTCCGCCCCTCATCTCATGCCGCTCGCAACAGCACAGACGCCTACTGCTCCAATCCCAGCGTTGCTTGCTCTGTCCTCTCCACCGCCCGCCTCTTCCTCCACGCTCTCCTGATCTGACCAGCGACCACGGCCACGGCTAGGGCCTCCACAACCACCATACACCACCACAACACCAATATAGCGTCAGACATCTGACGCTAAAAATGTATATTTACCAATGGTCAGTCTGACGGTAAAAGTATGTGACAAACCATCTGACGGTAAATATAACTTTCACGATTGACTGTCTGTCGGTATACCTATTTATAATCAGCGTTGGACAGTCTGTCGGTGTTTCGAGCTATAGGATCAGGCGGTCTGTCAATGTAGAGCCTTAGGCATCCGACACGCTAAGGCTCAGCCTACCTGTGACATCAAAAACCTAAGAGGCCAAAAATTTCCCTTTAGCCGCCACCGGTCTCTCTTTCCCTCCTTGCTTCCCGCACCGTTGTCTCCACCAAAACTCCAAGGGCGTGTTTGGAGCGTTGCTGAAGGCGCGCTTAGGCTCGTGAGGCGAGCCTGACAACCCACTGGGTGACCGGTGCAAGGCCCCTTGTTTGGTGGCCTATACCAAACCCGACCAGCCCAAAGAAGATTGTGTTTGATTCCATAGCAGGGAGCCAGGTCCAAGGCCAACTACCACCAACTGCCATTCCTAGAACTTGTTTGATCCCCGGCCAGGGCAGCAACCATGGAGAGCAGCCAACAGAAATCAATAGATATGACATAGATAAGAGTAATGCAACATCACATAGTGCTCTAACTTTACAAAAGTATCAATGAAGCAAGGCAAAATAACAACATCAAGACCTAATCAAGAATCAATAGTCCTCGAACAACACAAAGGAGATAGGTAATGTAAAATGGAAGACAAAAATCGAGAAGACACGGTAGCAGCTCATCCATCATATAGTTGTAGTCATCACAGGCCCTAAGAGGGCGATCATAGTCGCCAGCTTTGCCTCCCTTCATCCATAGTCCAACCACCAAGATAACAAGTGAGGTGATTACCACCTTCTTCCACCAACTAGCCTTACCATTACCATCAGAAGGAGGAATGATTAGAGCCAAAGCATCATGAGGGATAGGATCATAGGGGAGGGGAGGTGCTGCTCCATGAGATGGATGGACATCTCTCATGGCTGCCTGATAATCTCTAACAGCCTGCTCATAGTTGCTATACTTCTTGTATATAACATTTCTCACTCCAAGAACATGCTTACTGCACTCCTGCCAACTCAGGTAAATCCTAGGAGCCTTCCTATTGAAAACAATATAGTACGCTGCCATTTCTGTGAAATGAAACAGTGGTTTAGCCTCAGTCAAATGTAAAGCATAAAACTAGCCATGAGTGTGGAACTTGAAGATCTACGGTTTGCGGTGAAACAAATCATTGATCTTAAGTCCCCCACTGATGACCAGCATCATCAAGTTCATATGTAAGAGAATTGACATCACATGCATTGTAATAAAAGGTTGGTCTCAGCTTTAGAATGTGGTGGTGTTCTTTCAGTTCAAATCATTGGTGGTTGCCATAGAAGATAAAAACCAGTAGTGCAGCAAATCCAAGCTCATGGCTGCTAATGGGGATGGGGTTCCCGATCTTCCGTCAAGTAGAGGTAACTATCATTGTGGCGGAGAATGACATACCGATCCGGCTTTAGATCGAAAGATCGAACCCTGCAATCTTAGCACCACAACTCGAGTTCGAACTCGAGTAGCGTCACTCCTTCTGGGGAACCTATTGCATGCATATGCACAAATGAGTATCATGAATGCATAAGAGATAAGATGACCTGATGAAGTGTATATGCATGAGCATGGTTATCCGCAAGATGTATGATAAGTTTAACATTCGTTGACCAAGTAGATGTATAACTTTCTTCTAGTCGATCTTTACTGAGTAGGTGCATATCTCTTCTATAGTACAAGAAACATACACTCACCAAGTTCTAGTAACCTAAGGTAAAGTTGTTCATCATCAGTAAGAGGCATAGAACCTACAGCTAACAACTAATCTCAATTAGCCTAAGCATCTACACAAGTATCACATAAGACAAACAATTACAATTTGACTTAGTCATTTCCTGGACTATAAACAGCAACTACTTATTTTGGCCATATCTTGAGTTCTACTCAATCAAATACTATGATCTTGGACTTTCTGGAAATCTTATAAAACTGCCTACTACTTTCATATAGTCAACTTAAGATGATTCAATGGCTATCAAGGTCAAACAAAGCAATTTCTCAGATCTGTCCAGAAATTCCAGAGAATAAGCATTTCCAGAGACCAACTTCTAACAGCTATAACTCTCAAACCATTTATTCTATTGCCATCAAAATTTTACACAAGCAAGATAAGTAAGTTATCTACAACTTTGTTATTGACAATATTCACAACAAACATCATTTTACCCATGCAATTTACTTAACAACAGAAACTATCCAAAACAGTCACTATAATTGAATTATAGAGCAATTAATATTTCACTGCATACAAGCAATCAAATCTGGGCACAACCAATGGTGTCAATAGTTCATAGACATCATATATAAAGATGGCAACGGGTAGAGAATACCCACAAACCCGCGGCAACAAACCCGACGGGCGTGGATACGGGCGCCAAACTGTGCCCACGGGCATGGGTACGGGCACAACTGTCAACCCGATGACGGGCAAAGAAATAACCTACCCGCACCCGCAAACTCGATAGACCCGCTCCGATCGATCACTGACAAGTGGACCACCACTCAGCCACTCTCCTCCCTAACACCACACCACACCCTCCTCTGTCTCACCGTTCTCTCCTCAGTCCTCGTCCTCACGTTCTTTGCCAAGAGGCAAGAACAGAAAGAATAGAGAAACATCCTTCTTCTTACTCTCCAAATGCCACCTCCAAATCTAGGAATCAAGTTATGCATGTCACACCACTGCGTTCTCCATCTCGAGAGCTTTCCATTCTCCTATGGGGCTCTCTCTAGCGTGGAGCATCGGAGGAGATTGAAGAAGGTCGCCCTCCAAGGCCGCCCACATCACTAGGGCTAGGCACGCCCAGCTCATGCTTCCTCGAGTGGGGGCCATGGCGGCGCCGCCACCGGACGATGGGGAGCCTTCTCTTCGCTCGCCCTCGGTGCCCCGGCCAGCCGCAAGCCACCTTCCTCGTCGTACACCCTCATCGCTCCACCGGCCTTCCTCATCGCTCACCCCGGCTGGCCACCATCCTCGTCCCTCTCCTCGGATGGCCACCGTCCTCGTTGACCTGCCAGCGGGCACACGGGCATGCCCGCGGGCGAGCCTTGCCCGCGGATAGGGGGCACGGGCACAGGTTGCTGCCCGTGGTAGGTAGTGGGCACGGGTGCGG